CCAGAAATTTTTTAGGGGGGGGCTCACGCCGTGGACGACGGGGCAGCAGGGGGCCGCGATGGAGCGGTTAGTAGAGGAGGCCGCCAGGTTACGGGGGCCACTGGTCACTAAAGGGGAGGAGAGTGTAGAGGCACGGCGAGAGGTACTGGGGTGTGTTACCAGTCTGGTCCGGCCCGTTCCTGATCCCCGCGTAGGGCCAGTGGTGTGTGTCCCCAGTATGGTCCGGCCTCTTCCTATCCCTCGCACCGAGCCTGTGGTGTGCGTCGACAGCCCGGTTCGGCCCGTCACTGCTCCCCGCACCAAGCCAATGGTGCGCGTCGTCAGCCCGGTCCGGCCTGTTCCTGCTCCCCGCACCAAGCCAATGGTGCGCGTCGCCAGCCCGGCCCGGCCTGTTCCTGCTCCCCGCACCAAGCCAATGGTGCGTTTCGTCAGCCCAGCTCGGCCCGCTCCTGCTCCCCGCACCAAGTCAGTGGTGCGCTTCGTCAGCCCGGCTCGGCCCGCTCCTGCTCCCCGCACCAAGTCAGTGGTGCGTTTCGTCAGCCCAGCTCTGCCCGCTCCTGCTCCCCGCACCAAGTCAGTGGTGCGCTTCGTCAGCCCGGCTCGGCCCGTTCCTGCTCCCCGCACCAAGTCAGTGGTGCGCTTCGTCAGCCCGGTCCGGCCCGTTCCTGCTCCCCACACTAAGCCAGTGGTGTGCGTCGTCAGTCCGGCACAGCCCGTGCCTGTTCCACCGGTGCCTGGTTCAGCACGGGTCTGCTGCTTCACGCCGGAGCTAGAGCAATCCGCTCCACCAGTGTGCAGTCCAGCTCCGGTCAGCAGGGCCAGACCGGACCAGGGGTAATTTGGGGGGTTAGAGAGGGAGTGGGGATCATGCCCGGAGCCGGATCCGCCGCCAAGGCGGAGTGCCCACCCGCCCCTCCCCTGTGGTATTTGGTTGGCGCGGTCGGAGTCCGCGCCTTTAGGGGGGGGTACTGTCACGCCCTGGCTCTGGGGACTCTAGTATGTTGAGCAAGGGTGTGAGTTTTCATTTGTGTTTGTTCTAGTTGTTGTATTTCTATGTTGGCCAGGGTGGCTCCCAATCAGAGACGGCTGTAGCTCGTTGTCTCTGATTGGGAGCCATACTTAAGTAGCCGTTAGGCATTCATTTGGTGTGGTTTCTTGTTCCGTGTTGGTTTGTGTATGTAACCAGGGACGTCACGTTTTCGTTTTGTTCGTGTGATACTTTATAAAAATAAATATGTTCGCATTCCACGCTGCGCCTTGGTCCTCCTCTGTTCACGACGATCGTGACAGGACTTGCATATTCATGAGGCTAGCATAGCGTCTTACTCCCCGTTGAATATAGGTGGTTGACGTCAACACCCCTCATCGAATATTTAAGAAAGTATTCAAATAACGAGATGTATCCACCAATCCAAAGAGAGGAATAGGCTTGAGCTTGACAGCCCGCCGGTCCGCTCTGTGGACAACGAATCCCATTGTTAGGGCAGAGACAAACATCTCATCATTATATCCAGTATCTCTGTTCAGAGTTCACCACTGTTGTTCCATCAGTGAACAATTCACGTTTTCACAGAGCGTGCTAGCTAGAATGTGACGCTCGGCTCGTAGCTTTGAGGATTGAGGCTCTTGCAACAGTTAAAAGTTATTAAATTAGGAGCCATGCTGAAGTCAAAGAGGAACAAGAAAAGTAGGAGCAACAAGCATCAGACAGGTGCCCATCCTTTTGGGAGGGAAGCCTACCATGGCGGCTGCCAAGAGACGCAAAATAAAAGTAGTAGTGGAAAAGGATGGAGACACATGGAACCAGGATTCCGACAGTGATGGTGATAATGATTCTGATGAAAGTGTAATTCCAGGTTTGGGGTCGATGAAGAGATAGCTGAAAGTAGGTTACGTGTTTCCTGATGAAGCTAGCAATAATGAGGGAAACGGGGCATCGAGGAAGATTGGCGTCAAGTACAAACAGGATGAGCCATACTCCAATAGCTCTGGAGGTGAATTGGAAGAGAATGAGGATGGAGTACCTGAGGTGGCAGTTGTGATAAAGATCTCAGAGCTCGAGTCTCGCACCGATGGTCAAGATAAAGATACATCTGGTCCAGTAGGAATGAAATTGGCTGACCCCTTTGTGGTGTCAGGTTGGGTGAAAAAGGAGTTGGGTACTGTTGAATCGGTGAAGGTAACCCGAAGTGTACTTGTGATAATAGTTTATTCCGCCCAGAGGGAGCGGGCACGCCACACCACGTGTCTGGGGAAAATACCTGTTAATTGCTTTGCTCTCAGGAACAGAGCACCATTGAAAGGAGTGATTACTGAGAGGGTGGAGGTGGATCAACAGAAGTTGAAGATTCTCGGTGTCTGTGACGCCCGCCGTGGTGAGCGTGGTGAAACAGAAAAGTCACTGTCTGTCCTTTTGAGTTTTGATTCTGAGTCTTTACCTGCCAAAGTAATGTTAGGATACTGTATATCAGTTATCCCGTAACAGCTTTTGTTCCGGACCCACTACGGTGTTTCAGATGCCAAGCTTATGGTCATGTTGAAGCAGTGTGTAGGAGGGAGATTCGTAGATGTGAGAAGTGTGCAGGAGGGCATGGGACAAAGAAATGTGTAGTGTCGGTAAAAGTAGCTGTCACAAGTGTAGTGAGGAGTAGGCAGTCGCAGGTTTAGAACTACTGAATTTATTAAAGCACCATAGCTTAAAGCAGGACGAACCCACAGTGCAAAATATAAAGTACACAGGCAATAGTAGGAGAGATTCTTCTCAGGATAAAAGCAACATATACAATGACCGACAAAGACAAATGACATAGGGAGTATATATACAGTGATAGAGTGGGGATTGGAACCAGGGGTGTGTAATGATGACGAGACAAGTCCAGGGTTGATGAGTGAAGGGCGTTTGCCAGCAGCAGGTTCAGCAGGCAGCAGCTAGAAGGCAGGCGACGCCGAACGCCTGAGCTGGACAGGAGGGGAGCCAAAGCGAAGGCTGGTGTGACAGTAGCGGTATGTGTTAACTGTAGGGGTGCCCATGTTGCTGGGGATCAGAGGTGCCATGGTTATCAACTGTACCACAGAAATGGTGGCAGCTGCAGAGAAGTACTTGAGTTTACGAGATTTTACTGAAGAGGAGTTACAGGGAGTGTTGAATGCAGGGGTGAAACTAAGGCGATATGGTCTGGTACGGCAAAATAAATAGTTGGGGTACGCCATACTGGTAAAACATGAGCCTATCACAATAATTAAAACAAAATGTCAAAGAAACGGTAAGCTAGTACATCACTTTTTATTATTACCGCATGTCAGAGGCATGAAAAATGAGCGATTGGATTTGAAAATGTGTGGTATAGCCTACACTCCAAAATGCGATGTGGTTCGACGAGAACACTGATATTTTGCCAAGGCAGAAATGAGTGGCCGGCACCGAGACGCGCGCGGACAGCAGTGGACACATCAATTCTGGCCAATTCTGGCCTAATGACAATCACCAAATGTCATTACACTTTTTGATGTTTTATGTAACAGATGTCTCTTTCCATTCACCACTGTTTGGATAGTGGAAATATGTTGCGAGTGGATGAACGTGCACTCGTAGCCTAGTAAAGGAGCCCTTTGAAGTGATTGTTTGACAATCAGATGAAAACATGACTGGCTGTGTTTATGTCACAACAAAAGGTAATACATTTTAAAAGTTAAATGACAAATCTTTACGACTAGGCCCACGGAGATCCTATTGAATTAATAGGGATTCTATTTGTAATTCTATTAAATGTTTTCGTATTTCTGAATTGTAGCAATGTTTAAGACATGGATTTCATGTTGTTGAAATGTTAACAAGACACCCAAAAGTCGTTTGAAGTAACATTTTCATGTTATTAGCTAAACAAACCTTGTTTAGGAGAAAATACTCATATAGGAGGTCCCGTACGGGGAATAAATTAATTCTACTTTCACTCCTGGTTGAATGGTAGTGTCCCATCCTCCCAGGCTGTTGGCCTGGTGTAGGATCAGAAAGGGTCAAAGTAGTGGAATGTGGTGGTGGGTTTTCTTTTGTTTATATATATATATTAATTTTATTTTTTTCTCCCTTTTGCCTTTTGTATAATAAAGTGTCATGGATTTACATTCCACTCTGTGCTACGTAATTTGGGGAAAGACCTGTATCTTGCTTTGCGCTTGTTCCCATGTATCTCAGTTGGTAGAGCATGGCAAGCGTCAGGGTTGTGGGTTCGATTAGCACGGGGGACCAGAATTAAAAAAGTATTCAAATGTATTCACTACTGTAAGTCGCTCTGGATAAGAGCATCTGCTAAATGACTAAAATGTTAAAATGTACAGGGCACCATTGAAAGGAGTGATTTCTGGGGTAGCATTAAGTGTGGAGGTGGAGCAATTGAAGTTGAAGATTCCTGGTGAAGAAGAAGAAGAAGAAGAAGAAGAAGAAGAAGAAGAAGAAGAAGAAGAATTACAATTTACAATTTACACTCCAGTCCAGTTGGTGGCGGTCATGCACCTTTTGGTTGCCAACCGCCATTGAAAAAAACAGAAGAGTTCACCACCGCTTCCTGCAACCAACAACGGCGTGCAGTCGTGGTTAGCGCTCATACAACATACAAATGGTAAATATAGACTATATAATGAGGTGTTGGATGAGAATTAATAATATGTAGTGAAATGCCAGGCTATCATAAAAATTCCAGTAGCTACAGTAGCTATCATAAATTCGCATTGTGCGCTTTTGTTGTGATTATCCAACTAGCTAGCTAGTTAGCATCTAAGTTAGCTAGCTAACTTGTTAGCCGCTTTTGCTTTGCACTGCCACAGTATGTGAAAGGCTAGTTTGACTAGCTAGGAATCTAAGTAGCTAGCTGTGAGATGGAGCTAATGTGATCAAATGTACATTAATGCTAGCTAGTCTCATAACAGCACGTGAATAAATATCATTTCAGAGTTTACCGCTAAATCCCAAACCGTTCCTGAATGGTCTGACTGGCAAGCCCGTGATGGTGAAGCTGAAGTGGGGTATGGAATACAAAGGATACCTGGTGTCCGTGGACAGCTACATGAACATGCAGGTACGTGGACCAGACCGATGTCTAAAATGTGTGAACATGATTATCCTCAAATGGTGAAATGCACCATTGTACAGCATGCTCTGGAATGATTACCTTATGTGCAGACAATTAAATCCAGAGCCATACATATGTACATGTCTGGTTTTGCATTGCCATCTGTAACATATCTATAATAACCACTAATATCTATAACACCTAGTTATAAAATCTATTGTCTCTGATTTATAGTTGGCCAACACTGAAGAGTATGTGGATGGAGCATTGGCTGGACACCTAGGAGAGGTGCTTGTCAGGTAAGTTCAGTGGAATGCTCATTTGTTTACTTGCACTTCACATAGCTGATTGCACACATTAGCCTGGTCCCAGATCTGTTTGTGCTGCCTTGTTAACTCCTATTATGGTCATCATAGTTTGGTGTGACAATGACCAAGGGAGTTGCGAGACAACAGAAACAGATCTGGGACCAGGCTACACGCATGTAGAACTAGCCCTTCTCTCTGTCATACAACCAGCCCGCACTGAGCTAACAGTTTCCATATGTTTCCCCTCCACACAGATGCAACAATGTCTTGTTCATAAGAGGAGTAGAAGAGGAGGAGGAGGATGGTGAAATGAAAGACGCTTGAAAACTGAATGCTACAGCAGGCTTCTTCTACTTTTTCCCCCCACGTTTTTTTGTCCGGGCGCTAATCTTGTTCACTGAATTAGTCCTCATTTTTTTAATGATAAACATCTTGTTGTGAAAACAGTTATGTATTTTTTATATGATGATGAACCAAGCTGTTGTGCCCCTCTGGGCACAAAGATAATAAAATTGTGCATATTGCACTTTTCAGGAACATCTTTTTATGGTATTATTTTGTGCAATGTACATACTGGTACTTTCTATCTGTAAATTATCATATTTAAGAATCAATAACAGAATATACTGAGGCAAGAATATTAAACAATTTAGTTATTTTATAATCAAAGTATACAGTACATTTAATTATCGATCTAACTGAAATAACATTAGACAATAGCACATTTATGAATAGTGATTTTTTTTTTATCCTTCTTTGGCTTGAGCTAACTGAAATATAGGCCTAACATATAAAAGCTAATTTATATCAGTAAATGTTTTCAGACGCCGAACTTATGGCAAGTCGAACTGAAAATAAATTAAGAGCGGGCTGGCATGGTAATTCAGAATGTATCTCACTGTTTCTCATAGAATATTTCACACAGGGTGCCTTTCCTTAGCCGGGCAGGCTGTTTAGGAAATGTTGAGCAAAATTAAGAGTATACCCTCTTCTTCAGACACCACTACACCACTGAATACTCTCCCAAGTAATCGAACACTAACGTCCATTCAGATATTCGAATAACCGTGCCCATCCCTATTTGTCAGCCCTGTACTCTCCGAAGGAGAATATCCTGGACACACTGTTAGCAGTTAGTCTGAGTGCCAGTCTGTGCTATCAAATGCCAAGTACATACATCTGGGATCAGGCTAGATAGCAGTCACATATGCAAAGGATCATGGTCATATTCATTAGGCATGAAACAGAAGAAATGAGGGACAAGGAGGGACTACTTGGATTTGTCCAATACAAAACACTCATTGTTGTTTCCCATGGCAAAAAAAACGTTTAAAAAAGGTTTTGCTATGGTGTGCCCTAATGAACATGACCCTGGTCACACACTATGATATTGAACAGATTGTATGCCCAACTGCCCTTCCTTACATTTTTTTCCTGCGCTAGCTGGACGGTTTTGCAGATCTCGTCCGTGGCCTCCTCTGTCCCCTGGAAGTTCTGGATGTAGGACAGGTTATTATCATCCAGGTCAGTCAGCACGTTCAGCTTGTCCCTGGGGTTTACTTTGAGTAACACAACTCTGGCTCCTTGGAGGAGAGGAGACCGCAGAGAGAAATAAATGGAAGTGCTTATGATAACACAAATATTAGTCTGGTCCCAGATCTGTTTGTGCTGTCTTGTCAACTCCTATGATCATGTAGTGGAGGGTCAACACAAGTAAACCCAGTTTCTGTCTTATTTTGCGAATAGGGCTACGCATTTATTATGGTAGATATGTTATTTATTACTTTTTTTGCATTAAGGACTTCATTCAAATTTTTAAAAAATCCTCAGCAATCTACACACAATACCCCATAATGACAAAGCGAAAACAGGTTTTTATACATTTTAGCAAATGTATTAAAAACAAAAAACTGAAATACCTTATTTACATATGTATTCAGACCCTTTGCTATGAGACTCAACATTGAGCTCAGGTGCATCCTGTTTCCATTGATCATCCTTGAGATGTTTCTACAACTTGATTGGAGTCCACCTGTGGTAAATTCAATTGATTGGACATGATTTGGAAAGGCACACACCTGTCTATATTAGGTCCCACAGTTGACAGTACATGTCAGAGCAATAACCAAGCCATGAGGTCAAAGGAATTGTCTTTAGAGCTCCGAGACAGGATTGTGTCGAAGGCACAGATCTGGGGAAGGGTACCAAAAAATGTCTGCAGCCTTGAAGGTCCCGAAGAACACAGTGGCCTCCATCATTCTTAAATGGAAGAAGTCTGGAACCAGCAAGACTCTTCATAGAGCTGGCCGCCCGGCCAAACTGAGCAATCAGGGGAGAAGGGCCTTGTTCAGGGAGGTGACCAAGAACCCGATGGTCACTCTGAAAGAGCTCTAGAGTTCCTCTGTGGAGATTGGAGAACCTTCCAGAAAGACAACCATCTTTGCAGCACTCCACCAATCAGGCCTTTATGGTAGAGTGGCCAGACGGAAGCCACTCAGCAGTAAAAGGTACATGACAGCCCGCTTGGAGTTTGCCAAAAGGCACCTAAAGACTCTCAGACCATGAGAAACAAGATTCTCTGGTCTGATGAAACCAAGATTGAACTCTTTGGCCTGAATGCCAAGCGTCACATCTGGAGGAAATGTGGCAGCTTCCCTACGGTGAAGCATGGTGGTGGCAGCATCATGCTGTGGGGATGTTTTTCAGTGGCAGGGACTGGGAGACTAGTCAGGATCGAGGCAAAGATGAACGGAGCAAAGTACAGAGAGATCCTTGATGAAAACCTGCTCCAGAGCGCTCAGGACCTCAAACTGGGGCGAAGGTTCACATTCCAACAGGACAACGACCCTAGTCCCTGAATGTCCTTGAGTGGCCCAACCAGAGCCCGGACTTGAACCCGATCGAACATCTCTGGAGAGACCTGAAAATAGCTGTGCAGCAACGCTCCCCATCCAACCTGACAGAGCTTGAGAGGATCTGCAGAGAAGAATGAGAGAAATTCCCCAAATAAAGCTGTGCCAAGCTTGTAGTGTCATACCCAAGAAGACTCGAGGCTGTAATCACTGCCAAAGGTGCTTCAACAAAGTACTGAGGAAAGGGTCGGAATACTTATGTAAATGTAATATTTTTATTTAATTTTTTTTCATTAGCAAAAATGTCTGAAAACGTGTTTTTGCTTTGTCATTATGTTGTTTTGTTTGTAGATCAATGAGGGAAAAAAACGATTTAATACATTTTAGAATAAGCCTGTAACTTACAAAAAGTAGAAAAAGTCAAGGGTTCTGAATACTTTCCAAAGGCACTGTATATACAAATATATGTGGACACCCCATCAAATTAGTGGATTCGGCTATTTCAGCCACACCGTTGCTGACAGGTGTATAAACTCGAACACACAGCCATGCAATCTCCATAGTGTCTCCATAGACAAACATTGGCAGTAGAATGGCCTTTCCAACGAGTCAGTTCATCAAATTTCTGCCCTCCTAGAGCTGCCCCAGTCAACTGTAAGTGCTGTTATTGTGAAGTGGAAACGTCTAGGAGCAACAACGGCTCAGCCTCGAAGTGGTAGGCCACACAAGCTCACAGAACGGGACCGCCGAGTGCTGAAGCGCGTAGAGTGTAAAAATCGTCTGTCCTCGGTTGCAACACCGAGTTCCAAACTGCCTCTGGAAGCAACGTTAGCACAATAAATGTTTGTCGAGAGCGTCATGAAATGGTCGAGCAGCCGCACACAAGCCTAAAATCATGCGCAATGCCAAGCGTCAGCTGGAGTGGTGTAAAGCTCGCCGCAATTGGACTCTGGAGCAGTGGAAACGCGTTCTCTGGAGTGATGAATCACGCTTCAACATCTGGCAGTCCACCAAACTAATCTGGGTTTGGCGGATGCCAGGTAATGCTAACTGCCCGAATGCATAGTGCCAACTGTAAAGTTTGGTGGAGGAGGAATAATGGTCTGGGGCTGTTTTTCATGGTTCGGGCTAGGCCCCTTAGTTCCAGTGAAAGGAAATCTTAACGCTACAGCATACAATGACATTCTAGACAATTCTGTGCTTCAACTTTGTGGCAACAGTTTGGGGAAGGCCCTTTCCTGTTTCAGCATGATAATGCCCCCGTGCACAAAGCGAGGTCCATACAGAAATGGTTTGTCGAGATTGGTGTGGAAGAACTTGACTGGCCTGCACAGAGCCCTGACCTCAACCCCTTCGAACACCTTTGGAATGAATTGGAACGCCGACTGCGAGCCAGGCCTAATCGCCCAACATCATTGCCCGACCTCACTAATGCTCTTGTGGCTGAATGGAAGCAAGTCCCCGCAGCAATGTTCCAACATCTAGTGGAAAGCCTTCCCAGAAGAGTGGAGTCTGTTATAGAAGCAAAGGGGGACCAACTCCATATTAATGCCCATGATTTTGGAATGAGATGTTCGACGAGCAGGTGTCCACATAGTTTTGGTCATGTAATGTAGTTTACATGCATCTAATTAGCTTATTTCTCAGTGGTGCCGGCAGCAGCCCGCCTCGGCCTCCTTACCTAATTGGTTATCAAGTTCAAAAAAGTTAGGTGAATCAGGTGGATAGTGAGTGCGTTGTTCACGATGGATTAAGGCAAGACCAAGTGGTGCACATAAACACCACAAAAATGCTTTATCGGATCAAGCTCGTGGCAAATCCACCAAACACCATCGCAGGTGGAAGCTAGTAGGCCTACTTATGCAGCAGCTAGCACTAGCAGCCTCCCAGTCCCAACAGAGACCTCACTACAGTGGCCGTGCTCCTTCCCCACTATTCCCCTCGAGAATAGTGACAGTTCCTCTAATGAGAGTGCCTGCTCTCCTCCTCCTCTCCCAGAAAACCAAGCTGATGACTGCCAGAGACCCAGAGAGCGACCCGCCCTTCTGTGAACACTGTAAAGCCTATGAGTGATGAGACGGATAGTCCCGACAGCGTGGAGTCTGAGTTCCAATGTGTATTATAAACCGGGTGGTTCGAGCCCTGAATGCTGATTGGCTGAAACCCGTGGTATATCAGACCGTATAGCATGGGTATGATAATTGTATTTTTATTTTTATTTTACAATTTACTGGTTTAATTACGTTGGTAAGCAGTTTATAATAGCAATAAAGCAACCAAAAAGAAGGCACTGGCTGTCGTTGGCGACCCCTCCCACCCTCTACACCCTCAGTTCGAGAGGCTTCCCTCTGGCCGGCGCTTCACAATGCCCATGGCCAAGAAGAACGTGTTCAAACATTCATTCATTCCTTGTGCTGTTGGACTACTAAATGCAAAGTAAATTGTATCGGTATATGTACTTATCTATCCAGC